TCAAGGCCCAGCTGAAGAGAAACGGGACGGCAGAGAGAGGTGTCGGTGGGAGTGAGGACCAGGAAAGGCCTGTTCTCCCAGGGTCCTGGAAACACCAGGCTCCAGAGACGAGAGACAGGAACCCAGAAACCAAGCACATGTGTATGTGTGCGTGCGTGCGTGTGTGTGCTTGAGGCAGAAAGAGCATGTGTGTGAGAAGAGAACAATATGTGAGCATGAGTGTGTGAGAATGTGTGTGTGAGAGAACATAGTATGTGTATGAGTTTATGTGAGAGGGCACAGTGAATGTATTCATGAGTGCATGCGTGTGTGTGTGTGTGTGTGAGGGCATGGTGTGTGTCTGAGAACACAGTGAGTGTGTTCATGAGTGTGTGTAAGAGGGCATGGTGTGTGTCTGAGAACACAGCGAGTGTGTTTTGAGTGTGTGTGTGTGTTTGTGTGTAAGAGGGCACGGTGTGTGTCTGAGAACTCAGTGAGTGTGTTTATGAGTGTATGTGTGAGGGCATTTGGTGTGTATCTCAGAACACAGCGAGTGTTTTGAGCCATAGTATGAGTAAGAGAGAGCATGGTGTGTGTCTGAGAGCACAGTGAGTATGTTTTGAACGCATGGGTGTGTGTGAGGCAGACAATAGCACAGCCTGGTTCCAGAGGCCTCAATGCAGCTCACAGTCCCCAACTGAGGTCAGAGAAGCCTCTTCATCTGCCCAGGGCGTTGGGATTATCTGAGACTTCCCCAGAAGGGCCCTGAGCTGGGGGCATGGAACCTACAGGTGACTTTCAAAATTCATGACAAGGGTCCGGAGCGACAGAACAGCAGGGCTTGCACACAGATGACCTGGGTTCAATCCCTGGTATCCCATATTTTCCCCGAGCACCGCCAGGAGTAATTTCTGAGTGTAGAGCAAGAGTAACCCCCGAGCGGCTGGAGCAATAGCACAGCAGGGAGAGCGTTTGCCTTGCACGTGGCTGACATGGGTTCAATTCCCAGCATCCCATATAGTCCCCTGAGCACTGTCAGGAGTGATTCCTTAGTGCAGAGCCAGGAGGAACCCCTGAGTATCTCCAGGTGTGAACCTCCCCCCCCCCAAAAAAAAAACCTGACACTAAAAGTCACAGAGGGGGGCTGGAGCAATAGCACAGCGGGTAGGGCATTTGCCTTGCACACAGCTGACCTAGGTTCGATTCCCAGCATCCCATATGGTCCCCAAACACCGCCAGGAGTAATTCCTGAGTGCATGAACCAGGAGTAACTCCTGTGCATCGCCGGGTGAGACCCAAAAAGAAAAATAAAAGTCACAAAGGAACAGAGCAGTAGGGGGGTCAGCCCCTGGTGTGAGGAGGAGGAGGAGGGCCCCGGGGCCCCTGTAGAACCGAGGTCTTGGTCCTCTTGAGTCTTCTTGGTGCTTCTGCATTTGAGCACTGGTTTTGCTTCTATGTCATTTCTTTTGAGTTCAAGGGTCAGCCCTGGGTTTGGTCCCGCCTATGCAGAGGCCTCTGCACTCAGGGTTGTGGGCTCGGCCTCCCCTGTCTGCTGTCCCCAGGGCCTGGCTCGAGGGCTGATCTCCGTGGGCTTGTGAGTTGAGCGGGGTGACCCCCCTCTACCCAGCCCCCCGGGCTCAGGCTCCCACAGTAGGTGCAAGCAGGCGTCACCAGGAGGAACAGAAAACAACCACAGAGGGGGGTCTGGTGGGGGAGCCAGGCGTGCTCACCTTCCGCTTTCAGCCCAGAGGGGAAGAGGGGGGCCGCCTGGGCACCCCTGAGTCCCCCTGCAACCATCCCTCCAGCCCCGCAGGGAGGAGGGTGGGGCTGCATGCAGGCACGGAAGGGAGCTCAGACCGCCTTTGCCAAAGGCCACGGCTGGCATGCACCCCAAGGTGCCCTGTGGCAGGTCCCACCGTGCGCCTGTGTCCGTGCGTCATACATGCAAAGCACCAGCAGTGGGCTGGCCTGGGGCAGTGACCCGTGGCCAACCTGTCCTTTCAGCTCTGGGAGGGTGAGCCCTCAGTGGCTGTGGGGCTAGAGCGCTCGGCTTACGTCGGTCTCTGCTTTACATGTGAGCACAGCCTTGGCAACCCATTCCAGAAGGTTCCAATGGAGGCAGAACCCAGTGGCAGGAGTAGGGGTGAGGGGAGACGCAGACAGCAAAAGGCCCAGGGCTGGACCCGGACGGTCGGGGACGTCACCGCCTTGCTCCTGGCTGTCCACTTGGGACTGCGCCCCACCCTCCCCAATTCCGGAGACCTCATCAGGGAGCATGTCCCCGGGAAGAGCTCGCCCCGGCCACCTGTCCCCAGAGCCACTCCTCCCAGGCCAGGATCTCCAAGCTCTGCAAGTCAAGCGCGGCATCCCGGGTTCAACTGGATGTGCAGAGAACATCTTGTGGCCCATGAAAATGACAAAATGCAAATCCCGGGGTCCTGAAGCCCTTGGTCTGAGCAGGGTCACTGCAAGGTCACTGCGGCAGGAAGGACAAGGCCGCAAAGCCCCCGGTGTCCGGGAGCTGGCCTTGATCCAGCCCGCCGAGCCCTGGTCCCTTCTGACCGTCTCTGGCTGGTGACGGCCAGGGGCCAGGAGGGGATGCACTAATGGGGCTTCAGGCTGCAGTGTCTCGGCTCTCTGCGTTGGCACACAGCCCCTTGCCAACTCTCTCTTGTTAGTATTGAGATTTGGGAAGTAAATTAAAAAGGAAATTTTTATTATACGTGGAAGCTGATAGCTGAGCAGATAGTCCGAATAACTAGCCTGAAGATGCCCTAAGATACTTTTACTTGCCCAGGGTCCCGTGGGCCTGAGCTGCTCAGAGAGGCTCGCCTCTGGAGCCAGGACCTCCTCCTGCGCTTCCTGTGGGAACTGCTGCCTGGCCTTTTGCCCACCTGCTCTGCCCCCTCTCCTGTGCACCCCCCCCCGCCTGTGTCCCCTCCCCAGTGACCTGTGTCCCCTCCTCTGGCTCCTGGTTTCTGGCTGGGCCCTCTTGGCCCGTGCTCTGCCCCTGAACACAGAAACCGAGGAGCAGTGGACGGTGGTTTCCCAGCTGCTGTCTGGATTCGGTGCCATTTTGGAGGAAATAAACAGTGTCTTAGGCTGATGATCACTGCTGGGGTCAGCCCAGCAGAGCTGCTTGACTCAGGGGTGGGTCTGCATGCGTGTGTGTGTGTGTGTGTGTGTGTGTGTGCGCGCTCATGCGTGCACATGCATACATCATGCATACATGTCCCACGTGTGAACTGCAGCTCAGGGCTTAACTCACACACGTATGTGTTCTAGGGCTTGAAGAAAATCAGGGACCAACCAACCAAATGCATGAAACCTAGTCACCAACCAAACACTGTTCATATACACCCAAACCTCTAACATTAGACTCTACCTATTAAAAAAAAAACTGTTGAAATCTTTTTAAAATTAAGTCACCTAAACCTGGCACCCCTAGGGGGTTCAGGATGACTCAGTGACAAAAAGCACCTTCCTGACAGGCTCTGGTCTGATTCCTCAGGCACCAAACAAGGTCCTGGGGCCTGCACTGACTGGGCCTGCTGGTCCCGTAACACAGTACACAAGCCATACACACAGACATACACACAGCCAAGGGACTCGACACACACAGCCAAGGGACTCGACACACACACACACACACACGGCCAGGGAACCAAACACACACAGCCAGGGCTCTGGACACACACGTCTGGGTGTGCAGCCCCACCTAAGAGCAGCCACACAGCACCCCTCACTGAGCTGCCAGGCCTCTGAGCCCACAGTGGAAGGAGCAGGGCTGGGGCGTGGGGCAGCCCCTCATAGCGCAGTGGGAGGGCTGAAGGAGGGGGACACTCCAACACCTCTTGCCTCTCCATCACACTTGGCCACTTTGTCCCGGCACCCTTAGGAAAGGAGCAGGGACTGGGTACAGACAGCATCTGGCAGGGACTCGAACCCAGAACTCTCACTAGAGGCACCACACAGAAATCACATCAGAATTTCCCAGCCGGTGCTGGTTTGCAGCAATCACTGAGTCTTCGGGAATTTGGCGAGGGACTGCTAAGAGGCTTCTGGAGGGCAGGTGGGGGCTGGCGTCCCTGGCCTGTCCCCGTGGGCTCCTCTGCACCCCCCTGGGTACATCCAACTACACAGAGATAAACCAAGCCGGCGGCTCTTCCCCAGCTCTCAAATGCCCGACGGTCCTACAGCTGACTTATGGGAACGGTCGTTCCTGGAAGCTTCCATCAGACACTCACAACGAGTGAGATTCAGTGCATGGAAAATGGGTCTTGACAAGTCTGACCCTCAGAAGCGCCTCGAGGCACGCACAGGGGCCCAGCCCTGGTGAGGGGCTTTGGCTTCAGAGTAGGACACAGTCCCCATCTCCTGGATCTGGGCAGTGGCTCTCCAGGTGGACGCCCCCTAGACCCTGGGAGGCACTGGCCAGGGTCTGTCCAGTGAGAGTGCCATGTCCCCAGGGCCTGCGCTTGGAAGCTCCTCCTGCCAGGTGAGACCCCCCCCCCCCCACCCAGGCCCATTTGGGGTCTGCAGCGCGGCACCTGCACTCCCAGGTGAGGAGCAGCGGCCCATGCAGGAGGAGGCCTGGCCTGGGCGGGACGTGGGGGTGGTCCTCGGGGTGTCTGGCCAGGAGAGAGTTTGCTGGACGTCCTGACTCTGCAACTTCACTGCAGACTGTGGGACACACTCTGGGTATGTGAGAGGGTGGGAAGCTCTGCCTCTCCTGCCTGGGGACCCGGCCACAGGACAGCCACGGCCACCTGCCTCCCAGGGGCCATTCGAGGCCACATAGGCCCCAGTCAGAGGGGACAGAAGGACAAACCGGGACAGGAGGAGGGGTGGGGGCAGGAGAGAAGGCCAGCAGGGGTGGAGGGACTACAGGGACAGACAGGGATGGCCAAGGGTGGCCAGGGATGCTAGGGCTGGGAGGGCAGTGGGCCAGTGGGCCAGCCGACAGCCACTCTGAGCAGAGCCCGGAGAAAGGGTGCCCACGCAGCTCCCCACTCTCTTACCCCAGGTCCTGGAGCAGCTCGGCGTCCCCGCCCCCGTCCACGTCCCGGAGGCCCGCGGGGCCCTGGTCACTCATATCCCCTCCAGGAGGCCCGGCTCTGCCCATCCGCCTGCTGGCCCAGGCCGGGGCCCGGCTCTGTCTGTGCCTGTCCACGTCTTCCTGAGCACACAGAAGCGGCAAGCCCTGCCACAGAGGAAATGAAACTCCCTCTGACACGCCCCCCTGGGGCCCAGGAACCGTCAGCAGAGAGGAGGTGCCACACCCCCAAGTGTGCCCAGAACCAGGGCGGGAACTGCAGACACCTCTCCGGAGTTGCAACGTGCGTGCATGCGCACACACAGAGGCGCGCACACACACACACACACACACACACACACACACACACACACAGAAGCATGCACACAGAGGCACACACACATGAACACACAGAGAGGCACACACACACAGAGGCTCACACACAGGCACACACAGGCACACACACAGGAACACACAGAGAGGCACAAACACACAGGCACACACACAGAGGCACACACAGGCACACGCAGAGGCACAGACAGAGGCACACACACACACAGAGGCACACACAGACATAGGCACACACAGACACACACAGACATAGGCACACACACAGAGGCACACACACAGAGGCACACACACAGGCACACACAGGCACACACAGAGGAACACACAGAGAGGCACACACAGGCACACACAGAGGAACACACAGAGAGGCGCACACACAGAGGCACACACACACACAGAAGCACGTACACAGAGGCACACACACAGGAACACACAGAGAGGCACACACACAGGCACACACACACAGAGGCTCACACACAGGCACACACAGGCACACACACAGGAACACACAGAGAGGCACAAACACACAGGCACACACACAGAGGCACACACAGGCACACACACAGAGGCACAGACAGAGTCACACACACAGAGGCACACACGCAGATGCACACACAGATACACACAGAGGCACACACACATAGGCACAAACACATAGGCGCACACACACAGGCACACACACAGGCACACAGAGGCACACACACAGACACACACAGGCACACACAGAGGAACACACTGAGAGAGGCACACACAGGCACATACAGAGGAGCACACAGAGAGGCACACACACAGAGGCACACACAGGCACACACAGACAGAGGCACACACACAGGCACACACACACAGAGGCACACACAGAGAAGCACACACAGAGACACACACAGGCTAACACAGAGGCACACACAGACGCACACACAGAGGCACATACACACAGGCACACACACAGGCACACACACTGGCACACACAGACAGAGACACACACAGAGGCACATAGAGAGGCACACACAGAGACACACACACAGGCACACACACAGGCACACACAGGCACACACACAGGCACATACACACAGAGCCATACACACAGAGGCACACACATAGGCACACACACAGAGTCACACATGGGCTCACACACACAGAGGCACATACTCAGGCACACATGGGATCACACACAAGCACACACAGGCACACATAACATATACAAGGCACACATGGGCTCACACATGTGTACATAAGGTACACATAGACTTACACACAGGCACAGGTGGCTCACACGTAACCACACACATAACCACATACATGTTCACACAGGCACACACAGACAGAGGCACACACACAGAGGCACACACAGAGATACACACACAGAGATACACACAGGCACACACAGAGGCACACACAGAGGCACATATACAGAGGCACACACACAGGCACACACAGAGGCACATATACAGAGGCACACACACAGGCACACACACAGGCACACACAGACAGAGGCACACACACAGGCACACACACAGGCACACACAGACAGAGGCACACACAGAGGCACACAGAGAGGCACACACACAGGCACACACGGAGGCACATACACACAGAGCCATACACACACAGAGGCACACACACAGGCACACACAGAGTCACACATGGGCTCACACACACAGGCACACACAGAGGCACACACATGGGCTCACACAGTATGGGCACACATGGGCTCACACACAAGCACACACGGGCACACACATACACGTATACAAGGCACACATGGGCTCACAGGTGTGTACATAAGGTACACATAGACTTACACACAGGCACAGGTGGCTCACACGTAACCACACACATAACCACATACATGTACACACAGGCACACGTAACCACACACATGCGTGCACGAGGCTTCCATGGACTTGATGGAGGCAGGCGGGCAGACAGGGAAGGGCCCTCCCAAGGCGATGGCAGTAAAGTTCCCGGGAAATAATAGCCCTGAAGTTGCCAACCTTACAGAAAACAGGAACTAAGGCCTGATACGACCCTCACCTGGCGCCAGCAACAGACCCAAAGAAGCTCCAGCAGGAACAAAAGGCCAGGAAGGGAATTTCAAAGCAGACCATCCCCACTCCTGCCCCTAGCACCCTTGGGTAGAAGCCCCAGCGGGGACAGGTTGGAAACTCCCTATAAAAGCCGCCTTAGACAAAGGGAGGGTGTGAATCTGCTGCCCAAGACCATGTGCTGCTTGTGCCCATGTGGCTGAGCACATGTGGCACCTGAGCACATGTGTCGCCCGCCTCTCCCCTCTTTCCTTTTCTTTTTTTTTTGTAAATAGTTATTCTTTCTTTCTTTTTTTAAATTAGTGAAACACCATGAGGTACAGTCGTAGACTTACAAGTTTTTGTGCTTGGGTTTCAGTTATACAGTGATCGAGTGCCCATCCCTCCACCAGTGCCCATTCTCCACCACCACGGATCCCAGTATCCCTCCCACCCCCGATCTCTCCTCTTGAGCTGTGGACTTTGATGCTTTCCTGTCTGAGGCTGGGATGTGTGTAGGGGTCTCGCCACCCTTGGGAAAGCCCGGGGTCTCTCTTGAGCACATCCCTCTCTACTCTCTCCCACTTTCTCTCCCTTCTCCCCTTCAAAAACCTCCAAATAAAATCTGCTTACTTCACTGCTTGTTTACTCCTGAAATTCCTTTCTGCGAGGCGAAACAAGATCCCAGTAACCCCGGGTCCCGGGTGGCAGAGGTGGCTCAGGAGAAAGTGACCATCTTTCTCCTCCCGACTCATGTGAGCCACCCGTGGGGGCCCCCAACATCAGACTCACACAGCACATATGGAATCACACAAGCACACATGTGCTCACACACAGGCACAGTGGACTCCTACATGTACACACAGGCACACCACACCCGGGCTCACACACATGTGCATGCAGGCACACATGAATTCACACAGGCATAGTGGGCTCATACATAGTACACACGGACTCACACACACGTGGACACAGGCACTCATGGGCTCACACACACATGTGGACTCAAGCACACATGGGCTCACACATGTACACGCCGATCTAGGGAATCCCAGGAGACACAAAGTTGTTGCAGAGAAAGCTACACAGTGCCTCTAGCACTTACTGTGCTCAGCCTCCCCTGCCCTGTGTGAGGTGGGAGCCAGGCAGGGCAGAATGCAGGGCTGCGGCGGGGCGGGCCAGCGCTCTCCCTCTGGGCGTAAAACTTCTCCAGGGCAGAGTTTTTTTGTCACTGACCTTCTTTGGGGTCTCTGCTCCCCAGGGCTAGGAAAGGCAGACTGACCTCGCCTGGGAGATTGAGTAGCCATTTTGGTCACTATGGGACCATTCACCCCAACCTCCTACCACACCCCACCTCTGACAGCTCCCCAAGGAGACTCCCGTTTGGAGGAAAGTTCTCCTAAGTCACTGTCAAGGTTCCTACGCACTATGAGAGAGAGCCTTGGGGAATCATCTCGGGTGACTGGTGACCCTTCTGACCAATCGACCTGGAACTTTGTGTGAAAGCTGGGGAGCATTTCTAGAGAACCCCCTTATCACAGCGCACCCACATGCTGTGGCAGTGGTTTGAGAAAAACACAAGTTATTGTGGGGTAAGAAGAGCACTGTATTTAGGAGTCTCCCAGTTCCCAGAAGGGCACTATGGCTTTCATGTCCAGCCTCTCTGGGGACAGCCGCCTTCCCGGGCTAGGACGACACTTTGGAGGGTCAGTGTGACAGGACTGCTTTTGTTGGTGAAGGGAGGCCTCCCCACCTGGAAATGTCACACTCAGTCTCTTGGCGCTGAGTTTTGGACCCTGAAACTCCGAATCGAAGGGAACCTTGAACACAGTAGCGCTGTCCCCTCAACAAGGCAGCCCCTGCCCAACACGTCAAACTCCACAAGGGCCTCACATGGCTCCTTTGCGTCTCTGAGTGTGTCTTAATTTGAAAGGTCCCTTCTCCTGCCCCTGGGGTGGATGGTCAGCTGGGGCATATTTCGGAGATACTCTAGCTTACTCGACCTGAGACGGGGGCTAGACCAGCTCTGGAAAAAAGGCCGCCTTAGGAGCGCCCGAAATGTGTGCAGCCCAGCGAGCATTCAGAGTGTTTCGGAAGCTAAGCAGTGCAGGAGGTCTGTGGCCTTTCACGAGGCTACAGTCCCCCTGGTGCGGTCGGCTGGGCAGAGGGGCTGGAGAATGACAAGGACTTGCCTGGGCTCTGCGGCTGGTGGTAAGCCTCGCCTTACCACAGGACTCGGCTTCCTGGTCTTTCTGGATGTAGTGATTTGAAACTCAGCACGCTTCAGTGTTTTTTAGAAAATGCTTTTAAAACCAAATGGTGTTTTCTGGCCTTTGATTAAGACCCGGTGAGGCTGGAGCCTCAGGTGCACACTGTCTGTCCCTTGGGAGCTGCGGGGATTTCAGAGACCGCCACAGAGTGAGGACTGGGCTGTGCACATTCTTAATCTGACTCCTTTTGAAGCAGTTTCCACACTCACATGCTCTACAGAAGCCTCTGGAGCCCTGAGCACTGAGGAACAGGAAATGGGCTTGAGTTTCCTGTGGCTGAACAGCTGGCGTGCCCCACCCAGGACTCCCGGCCTGTGCTGCCTCCAGTGGGCATCAGCTGCAGGCTTTTCTTTGAAATTTATTGCTTCTCGGGCAGGCACTTTCTCCTCTCTCTGTCTCTGTCTCCCTCTATCTGTCTCTCTGTCTCTATCCCTCACTCTGTCTTTCTGTCT